TGTGTTGCAAATATGCCACAAATAGTTTTCTCATGATTCAACAAGTAGACAGTAAGCCACCAAAAATGTGTTGGAAATATGCCACAAATAGTTTTCTCATGATTCAACAAATAGACAGTAAGCCACCAAAAATGTGTTGGAAATATGCCACAAATGGCTTCTTTATGACTCAACAAGTAGACAGTAACTCATCAAAAATGTGTTGAAAGTATGCCACAAATAGTTTTCTCATGATTCAACAAGTAGACAGTAACCCACCAAAAATGTGTTGGAAATATGCCACAAATAGTTTCCTCATGATTCAACAAGTAGACAGTAAGCCAACAAAAATGTGTTGCAAATATGCCACAAATGGCTTCTTTATGACTCAACAAGTAGACAGTAACTCATCAAAAATGTGTTGCAAATATGCCACAAATAGTTTTCTCATGATTGAACAAGTAGACAGTAAGCCACCAAAAATGTGTTGGAAATATGCCACAAATAGTTTCCTCATGATTCAACAAGTAGACAGTAAGCCACCAAAAACATGTTGCAAATATGCCACAAATAGTTTCCTCATGATTCAACAAGTAGACAGTAAGCCACCAAAAATGTGTTGCAAATATGCCACAAATAGTTTCCTCATGATTCAACAAGTAGACAGTAATCCACCAAAAACATGTTGCAAATATGCCACAAATAGTTTCCTCATAATTCAACAAGTAGACAGTAAGCCACCAAAAATGTGTTGGAAATATGCTACAAATAACTTCTTTACGAATCAACAAGTAGACAGTAACTCATCAAAAATGTGTTGGAAGTAGATCACAAATAGCTTCATGATGACATGTAATTACATTTTGGTATGATAACAGAATGATTCCCTTAAAGTCAAAAGGAAAAAAAGTGTTTTTTAATTCTAAAATTAAAAAGGTAAAATGAAGAGAAGATGCCAAAGAAAGATGGTTTTATAAAATGAATTTCAAAGTAAGTCCCTTCTTCTTTTGAATATACATGCAATACAACCATTTTGCCAGTCTTCATTAGGCACACAAATTAGCTGTGACTTATGAAGCAGAAATAATAAGTCTATACAAGATCAAACTGAGAATCAAATGTATATTTTGGATGTTATCTCTTGGAATTGACCAAGTAATATAAAGTGAAAAACTTAGCCACTACAATACATAGTTTTTCATATACGAGAGTAAAGACACAGGATCTTTATTGCCTTCTGTGTTAATTATTTTTAAATTCATAGTTAAATCTAAAACAATTCATCAAAACAACTCAAGTAAATTTTCAGTATAACTACAAGTTTTGAGTTGATTATTCATGAAAATGTCTAATCCTCTGGTGTATTTTTTTATCTAATTAATATGCAAAAAATATTTGGTTGGTCTAAATAAACAACAAAACTGTCACCAACATGTACAAAACTTTCTTTGAAAGGATAGCTAAAAAATATGTGACTTAGTTAATCATTATGCCACAATACAACAAACATATAACTTGCACACTTATAAATGCATGTGTCACTTGTATTGTAAATAACTTTAAATCAGTACATATCTTGTACTTAAATAATGTACATTGAAAGTTAAAGGCAATTTTGATCAAATACTCAAAAATAAACACTCACTGACAGTGACACTTCCTTTGACTGTCAGTGTTTGAGAAAACAGAACCTACACAAGTCTCATTCTTAAAATAGATTCTCTGCTAACAAACTTATTCCGATATGACAGTCAAAATCTAAGAAATCTGTAATTTTCTGCAACTATATATCACACTTTACATAGTTTTGCAGCAAGAGTTAATTCTAATTTCCATTTCAGTATTTGTTATGAATATGATAAGCACCTGCAATGCATTCAATGATTCATACGGTGTGTAACTTCCGGTAAGTGTTAAGCCTAAGTTACAAATGTTATGATCGTTTACATTACTTTAAATGACAACATAAAATATCTATTACCTCTATTTCAAGCAAAAAAACTGTATCGCTTCTGCATTCTTCACGCCATAGATCAAATTCTTTTTCAAGAATATCGGAAATATTTTCTTTGCTAATATTGTCTGCAAATTTCCCACTAGAATCCATATTTTGGTTTCGATGATTTAATAAAACTATCACCAGATGGCAAAAAAATCCTAGTGAACCAGGCCGAAAGTTACCTGAAAACTTATTTATTGTTAATATTACAATTGACATTTCTTTAACACTTGTTACAGGGTTATTTAATATACTGTACAGATGTGTTTAATATAATAACATTAAACCTCATTACCTTGAAAGTAAATCATAGTTATTTAAAAGATTAAAATGTTGATATTAATAATTATAATGTGGAGATATGCTTAATGTGTTACTTTAAATTGGTGTCACATGAAATTATTTTATCATTTGTATTCAGTAATTAAAATTAAAGTCCTCCATTTGAAATTATGATTTCGTGTCAGGAAACTAAATCTTTACAACTGTAAACAACACACATTATGTCCTTGACAAATAATTGCCAAGTTTTTGTTTTGTTTTTATCTTTTTTATCTTGGTCATTCGAAGGCTGTTTTATGGGTATGGATATCGAAATGATACAAACTGTTTTTAATAAAGGACCTTAATTTACAAGAAGAACGTTTCTTGTATTTTACGTATAGAACATCACTTAGGGAAGATAAATCAATATTATTCTATATAGTATTAGCTTAAGATTTTTTTGTTGTTTTTATCTATCAGAAAATCGCAGTCCGTAGAAGTATTATTTGTCCTGCAAGTGTAAATAGTGAAGTTCAAACAGCACAGATTATTTGTTTGTAGTTAAGCACAAAGTTACACAACGAGCTATTTGTGATGTACCCACCAAGAGTATCGAAACTCGGTTTTTTTAACAGTGTGAGCATTTAGGCTTACCGCTGAGCCACTACGGGGCTTTAGTACAGAGATCAAATCATTATCCAACCGAAAACTCCAGATAAATACACTTCACGAATAGAAGATCTGCCAATAAGTAATATTTGCTTTGTTAGTGACAAACTACAACAGAAAATCAGTTACAAACTTTGTTACATTATAATTATGTTAAGAATCTGAATCCTAATTTTATATGTTTTCTTTCAAAACTAAAATGTCAGAAAAAGCTTTGCTAATAATCGAATTTCCAAAACTATATTTCAGTAACATACGCTTACATTTGAAGTATCTTGATTTGGCTATTTTACTATTTTAAGGAGTCGTATACAACTGCTTGGGTGACTAAGTCTACCTCTGATCTATAGGAGTCCTCTTTTGGAAAAAATTTCCTGACTACGTGCACTGTTGTTATGTTTCATGTTATAACAGGCCAGGTTTGACTTAGAGAGCGTGTCAGAAGGTTCATAGCTCAATGTGTTATATACTGCTGAATACAATCGTTACTTTCAGATGAGGAAGTGTTATAACTATGACAATCAGTTCCATTTTTTGGTTAATAGTTGACGCATCGGCAGCACGTGCAGCTGTCTGGTCACCCTTCTTCTGGTTAGTAGTGCTACATTCCCTTGATATTTGTTTAGTAATTATCTAATATTATGTTATATCACTATTTTCTGGGTAATTTTTGAAATATAAAGCACGAGATTTCACATTGATGAAAGTTGATACACATGGTGAAATGGCGATTGCGGTTGGAACGAAGTTTGACTGTTATGTAGTTTTCGAAGAAGAAATTGAGAAAGATGATTTTTGTAATTAAAGTGAGAGAGAGAAATTGTAGAAGTTTGCAGGCGGCTAAAGGATGACTAAAAAGTGCTATTAAATATAAAAACCATTTTATGTACATGGTATTGTTGTAAAATTAATCAATTTAAATGTTTTAGAATATTAGATTTGTCTCTTTTATCACCAGACTTAACTTTTACCACTGTGCCTTGTCCTTAATCATAGTTAATAAATCCTACACTTAGAGTTCAAAAGAATCCAAATTCTTGGCACATTGAATGTAGTAAAAGTATACTTAGCTAACTTAAATTCTCTTTCCTGTGATTTCTGTTCAGCATAATATATGAAGCTCATCAGACACATGTGTTATCACAGTAATACACACTTCAGTAATTAAGAACATGTGCGCCGGAGGAGGTCCGGTAGACTGGGCAGCAGCCGGACCAACATTTTGTCACAGTAACTGTTGGTCTTTTTTAAACTTTAACTTGCACTTCAAAAATAGTTTATTGGTAAATATATAGACTTATAGTAGTATGTATGAATCAGTATAACAATAGATGATAAATTACATGTGTAATCTGCAAGTGTACATGCTCGTGCTTTCTTATAGCTGCAGTGAATATAAGTGCCAGTGAACACCCATTTTTGTGACCCGTAAAGAAGTGCTTGCAAATGATTAAGACTTTCAATAAATTATAATAAAAGTAACACAAAATTCAATTTCAGAGCACCTAGTTTTCAAAATTTCCTGATGAGGCATGCCTCTCAGGCCCCCTTTGCACTGATATACTTTGCACACTATTCCGAGTTAACTGACCAATCCAATAGTTTCAATAGAAACTATCGTAGTGTAGCTTTCAACCCCATTTCACAAATGCATTTCAAATAAATTAACTTATTTGTTGTACTTATCGCATCTCCCTCTTTACTTATAAAATAAATGGTTTTTAAACTTGAAGCCATGACATAAATTAACAATAGGGGGGGGGGGATTTCGCTCGAGCTCCTTATTTTGGTGATGTAAAAATTATGATAATTTAAGTCTAGCTCCCCATGCAGTGTTACAACATAATGATGATTCGTTGACTTTTCAATGGATATTTGTGGAATTTATGTGAAAACCATACAACTGTTTAAGCTACATTTCATACAATTATTGATTTGCTTCCAGATTTAATATCACAACACCTATTTTTTACAAATTTTCTGGGAGCATGCCTCCTGACCCCCCGTAGCACTAGCATGCTGATTGTGCTTTGCACAATATGTGTTGGATTTTGATTTCACAAATTAGAATCCCGCTTTCAAACATCATGCGTAAGGGTTTTTTAATTTGTGATATCATTTGTTTGTTTGTAGTTAAGTACAAAGCTACACAATGGGCTATCTGTGCTCTGCCCACCACGGGTATCAAAACCCATTTTCTAACAGTGACATACCGCTGTGCCACGTGGGGGGGGGGCATTGTGAGATCAGTTGTTTGTTTGTTATGGATTTCGTCCTTAATTTAGCAGTGTAAGTCTAGAGGGAAGGCAGCTAGTCATCACCACCCACCGCCAACTCTTGGGCTACTCATTTACCAATGAATAGTGGGATTGACCGTCATATTATAACGCCCCCACGGCTGAAAGGGCGAGCATGTTTGGTGTGACAGGGATTCGAACCCGCAATCCGCGGATTGCGAGTTGAGCGCCCTAACCACCTGACCATGCTGGGCCATGTGAGATCAAAGGCGAACACATATTGTGCGAAGCACGATCAGCATACAAAATCCTACAGGGATCTGGGAGCATGCGAATATTTCAAGGCAAGAAATGCTAATGCTTCATCAGAAGAATATAGACTATGAAGAAAACGTTCAATACCATAAGTAGCTGCACTATAACTATATAAGCATAATTGTTTTACATCACAAAAATAGGGGGTTCTGCCAAAGGTAAAGGTATTCAATGTGTGGTCATATTTACCTATTTTGTTTTATTTCAACGTAGTCGTAACACTCGAAAAGACCAGGTATGGCTTAATGGGTATCATGCTGGAATGTGGATTCGAAGGATCACGGCTCGCGTCCCGCTGTCGCAAAACCATGTTTCGCACTTTGGAGCCGTGGCTGCATTATAAGAGTGGCGGTAAAATCCCAGTATTCGATAAGAGTTGGCCAAAAATTGACGGTAGGTGGTGTTCACAAGCTGCCTTCCTTCTAGCTCATCAGTTTAGAATTAGGGACGGCTAGAGCTACGCAGATAGCCGTTCTATAAATTGACTCAGATATTCCAAACAAACCAAACAAAGCATTCTTGAAAGAACCCTAATAAATAGTAATTACAATTAAGTAAAAGTCTTAATTCCACCTTTTGCTGGACTAATATTTCCACCGCCCCCCTCTCCAATTGGCACAGTGGTATGTCTGCAGATTTACAACGCTAGAAATCGGGTTTCAATACCCGTGGTGGGCAGTGCACAGATAGCCTATAGTTTTGTGCTTAACTTCAAACAAACTACATTAATGTTTATTTGTTTGGTTGTTTGTTGTTAAGCACAAAGCTACACAAAGGGTTATCTGTGCTCTGCCCACCACGGTTTCTAGCGTCGTAAGTCCGCAGATACACCGCAGTGCCGCTAAGGGGCTAATATTTAATAATTGTGACCTTTTCTGGCCCGATTTGATATCGTTATTTATCATTCAGTTTTGACTTTATATAAAAAATATCATTAAGCAGACAAAAAATATTGAGAAAAGGAATATTTTTAACAGCAATATTTCATTTCAGAGTTTTACCTAGCATAATGATTTGGGACAACAAAGTATCTATTGGTCCATCTCGGCTGTCCCATCCTCTCAACTCAACTCAACTAAACTATCAAATAAATAAATTAAAAATATAAATAACATAAAAATCTTAAACCCAGCCCTAATCATTCATGTAGTTATCAAACTGACTCATAAACTCACTTAAATTTACTTCTTTTACAACATCTGAAGGTAACCCATTCCAAAGACCAACCACCTGTTAGAAAAATAAAACTGTTTTCGTTGAAGATGACTCCTATCTTGCCAAAATTTATATATTGTGTCCCCTAGTCCTATTATTATCGCCGTTGAGTATGAAAAAAAAGATGATGCACTATCAATTCCTTTTACAATCCTAAACACCCCAATCAGATTCTCTTTAATTCTTCTTTTTTCCAAGAGAAAATAATTTCAAAGATCTTAATTTCTCCTCATATGATAACCCTCCTTCCTAGGTACCATTGTAGTAACCCTTCTCTGAACCCTTTCCAGCAATTCAGTGTCTTTCCTAAGGTAAAGAGTCGAAGACTGAACACAATACTCTAAATTTTGCCTAACCAGTGACCTATACAATGAAATTATAACCTCTTTAGACTTGCATTCAATATTTCTGTAGATACAACCTAAA